GGAGTTCATTACTAGTCGATCATTATATACCATTCGATAGCGCTTTTCAAGGACTACATTTACTACTGTTCGAATTCAAAAAAGCTCACTTGTCGATTTTTGCTCAAATTTCCGCCTGAATGCCCACCGTGCGGGGCAATGATGATCAATGTATGCTATTTTCAAGTATTTTCGTTACTGTTAAAGTTTTTGGCTGTAAAAATCGATATTGAACAGGAAAACAAATGTGGCTTCCAGATATGTCTTGATGTAAAAGTATTTTTAGTTTTAATTAACTTCCAGTCAGTATCCATCGACTATGTCAGTAATTGCTACAGGTTAGTCTACTATGTGAATGTACATATAGTAGAGTAACACATAACTCTGCCCAAAGATATATGTTGGTATACCAGTGCTAAAAAATTCTAATAAAAATGAAACTAGACTCGAAATTGTTAACCCATTTCTTTAAACGACGTTCGATTTTTCGCATGACTAACAGAAAGGTGATCTCATCACGCATAAAAGGAAAGAAAAGTGGGTGAGTCAGTGCCAAAAATAGGTTATAGTTTACACTTTGAACTAATATTATGTCGATTGGCGTATGAATATGAGACACTAATGTATTGAAGTAATCTTTCGTGTGCTGTTCAATAACAGACTCTACGCCCATTCCATTTATAATAGAAAATGGCGTGCTACCATTTATAATAGAAAATAGCGTGCTACCATTTAGTGTATCAGTTTAACAGTTTCGAACACCATAATTAGACGGAGAAATGCAACCAACTAACTACCATAAAAGAAACACAGGAGAAAAAATGTCAGGTATGCAAGAAATAGGAAAATAAGAAAGAAAAAGGAAAATAAGAAAGAAAAAAGGAAAATACACCTTTATCACCATTTTTACCTGTACTACGTTCGATAGAGTCAATGTAGGACTTACTGTCATTTACTATTTCTATACGTCTCTTTGCTCTGGTCTATGTTACCTTTCTATGGCTCGATAGTTAATTTCATTTTATCTATATTTTGAAAGAAAACCAAATGCCCTTTACGTGTAGGTACGACTAATTTGGAGAATTGTTTCTCCCACTATCAAAGAGGCGGAGAACGTAAGGGCTTATATCCGAATTACGTACGGAAGAAGGATTGATTTTTTACTCTATACCATTTTTAGAACTTTTAGATAAGAGTGTTATACTAAGAGATTTTAGTAATGGTTTGATGTGATTTTCCTTTCTCTTTGAATCACATACACTTCTTTATTAATAATTATGTATATTGCGACAGGCGTTCCAACACCCGTCTCTTTTACACCTCAAGTAATGACTTTAGCTCAACCTAATCAATATGGAGATATCGCTGCTCAACAACTCATACAACAGCAACATACCGCTATAAATCAAGCACATGCAGCAGCCTACTCTGCTTTGGGTAATCCACCATCCAACATAATGATAAATAATCAATCACAACAACAACAGCCCAATTCCCAAACTCAAAATGTTGGTTTATCATCGAATACCGTTCAAGGAGATCCAAATAATTATCCGATTCAACAGATTTTACTAGAAAATATATATAATAATGTTTTAATGAGAGAAAAGAATTTATTATACCAAAATCGAATAGATAAAGCTAGAAAACGCCTTTCAGATCCTGTAACAACAAATTATCATGTACCATTGCAACCGTTGCTAATGAATGATTATGTTTTAAATTCAAATGTATCTGGTACTAATGTTGCTAGTGGAACAGGAGTAAATCCTGCTGGTGGCAGTCAAAATATTTCCATACCAACTACTAATCTACAGCGTGTTCAAAGTGGTCATACATTAAATCGTCGACGTTCGGTACGTTATACTAAACCTTCACTACATCAAGCACAACCTCTACCTCCTCCATTACGTCCAATTAATGAAGGTCAAAAATTATTTGTAATAAGACATGCTGAACGTGTTGATTCAACATTTGGAATCACTTGGGTTGATAATGTTTTCGATAAAAATGGACAATATAAACGGTTAAATTTAAATTTACCAAAAAAAATGATTCAACGTCGTGATAATAAAGATTTTTTATTTGATCCTCCTCTAACTGAATTAGGTTTAGTTGAATGTAAAATGGTTGGTGAAGAATTATTGGCTCAAGGTGTTAAAATATCTCATGTATATTCATCGCCAGCTTTACGATGTGTTCAAACAGCTGATAAAATAATTGAAGGACTAAATAAGAAAGATGAGATACCAATTCGAATTGAACCATGTCTATTTGAATTTTTAAAATGGTATCCCGTTGTACCATTAAAATGGCCATTTCTTACCATTGATGAATTATCAAAAAATGGTTATCATGTTGATAATTTCTATAAACCATTTTATCCGATTGAATCATTAAGAAAAGATGAAGATGAACAAATGTATTATACAAGAAGTCATTTTATTATTACATCAATATTGAAAAATCATGAACTTGATGGAGGAAATGTATTAATTGTTGGACATGTAAGTCATGATGTTTAATAATTTTTTAAATAATTATTTCTTATATTTTATATTTTAGGCTCCCACTCTTGAAGTATGTACTCGTCAATTAACAGGTGGTCAACCTCGTGTCAATGATTTAAAATTTCTTGTGTTACGTATACCATTTTTATCAATGCTAACAATTTCAAAACAATCAGATGGTACATGGCGTGCCATTAAACCACCAATTCCTCCAATGAAACATCAAGCAGTTGAATCATTTGATTGGCGTTTTATACGATAATAAACATCTAACAATTGTATACTGTTTAAATGACAAGTATTTATTTATTATATAAAGACTTTTTACAATTATTTCTAATGAAAGATTTAATTTCTATTTCTATAAAAAAATAAGAATATTCGTTTATCCATATCGTCTATACAATGTGTCAAAAATAGTAGATGAGATCATACAGATAGTATATAATTCTAACTTTATCTTAAAATCATTATAGCGTAATATAATTCTAGTATTATATCCATAATGGTATATCTTTAAAAATATAAATAGGGTACAAGTATGAGATGAAGAACAGATATTTTAAGTAATAACACAAAACAATTAATGGTTAAAAAGAATGAAAGTTTTTATAACAATAAGGTAGCACAAATTAGAAATGGCGTATAATATCACAGACATTTTTGAGTTTTATTGTTAAAAAAAATATTATGTATCACTACGGAGATCTAAAGAACAAAAAAATAATGATTATATTTTAATCATCAATAGCATTAAAAAAAAAACTTTAAATCTTACCGGTCGTTGTTACGGACAATTTGAGAGGTGGTGGTGGATCCTTTGACATTTTGACTCTGCTCATAGCTTCCATCATCCATTTCATGCAAGTACTTACCTAAATAAATTTTGTAAAATAGAGTGAATATTAATAGAGTAAGAGCGTCATGTACATACTTCTTCTGCATGTGCTCGTAAATCAATAACAGCTTTTTTCATCGATGTTACATCTTCATTTAATTGTTTAAAATCTGTCATCATTGATGTCTGAATATCACCGGCAGCCTCTTGAGAACTATGAATAATAATAAACATAATTACATCAATTCAGAGAGTTAGCTGTTGATTGTTAAGTAAATAAATTACTTTGTAGTTGATGGTACGATGGCTGTTGTTGGTTGCGATGTAAGTAAAGATCTTGCATAAACATTTGTTGCATAACTTTCAAAATCAGTCCAGTCTTTTTCAACACTTTTATTAGCAGCAATCATTTCTAGAAAAAATAAATATATTAGTTATAATTAAACAAAAGTTTTATAGATAAACATACTAAAAGTTTTTGCTTCTGATTTTCGTCCAAATGATTGCTGTCTGTTAGTTGGTAAACGTCTATAGATGTATTTGATTAGTTCGTAAATATGTGAAATAATAATAAAAGGTGGAAACAATGTAGGTCGATCAAAATATTCACGAATTAATGTATATCGTTCATAACGCCACACTAAATCTGTATGATCTTGAACTTGTTGAAATGTATAACTTGAAAAAAATAAAATAACATTTTTATTATATGTTTTGTTATTTCAATTTATAAGATAAGATCTTACCTGAACATAGCAATCAATAGATTAATTAATAGAATATTGACAAATAACATGTGAAATGCCAGTAGAACTTGCGTAGCAATTGCTGTTGAGTTGTTATAACCGTCTTAAAAAAAAAAGTGAAATGTTAAATATTGTTGTTGTATAATCAGTTTAATAATTAAATCAAACAGAATATTTACCTGCATCAAGTAGTTGTCGTTCATCATCGAAACTTCCGTACATAAAATAATAAACGGGATAAATGATATTTCGAAATATTGCTCGACCATCAAAATCAAATGTTCCATAAAAGTGCATTGCTCGAGATGCTATACCATACGCTGACATGGCAATCAAAATTATATATGTAAAGAAAAAGAGATCAATTATCTAAAAGAGTGAAAATGAATATGGATTTATTGATTAGAATCTTTCAAAATTGTACAAACCATTTTTCGAATCATGACTAATTTTGGTCCTAATTTTTGAGCAACACCAATGAATTTTAATGAACATATGAACCAAATTTCCAAATCGTAAGCGAGTGCTATTCTAAAAAAAGAAGAAAATTGAAATTTGATTTTAATAATCATTTGATAACTAAACGATTACAAAACTTCAAATAAATATATTTTACCGTAGATGATTCAATTTGTTTACCTTGCAGCTGAAAATGAATCTTGATCATAAGCATTTTGAAATCTTAATATTAATCCAACATAAAATAAAATATAGGCAGCAACACTCATTATATTGAAAAATCGACTTGCCAAAAAATAATTATGTATTTTTCCACCAATAAATAAATTATCTTGACAAATAAACTAAAATAGAAATTTTTTTAAATAGTACAAATAATATTATCATTTGATTCTAGTATATACTTGTCTAATGTCTTCGATTAACATTGTTGAAATGATAATAATGACAACAACTTCAGTCCAATGAATACTTGGAATACCGTCACTCGGCGGATCAAATGCAAATAACATGTAATAACTGAAGAATAACAAAAATAAAATGAATGATGCCTAAAATAAAGAAAAATAAATAAATACTAGAACACGAGTAAGCTAACGCCAACATTCCTGAGGCACAATAGCGCCCTTCTAATACACCGGTATACATTGTATTAGTGAACATATCGTATTGTTTTTATTCCATTCAATCTGATAGATATCGAACGGAAGCATTATTAAGAAATTCGTTTCTAAGGCAAAAATTGTGCTTCACGAGCAAAAATAAGAAAAAATGATCAAAAACGCTGATGAAAACTGATCAATCTCATCATTTCGTCTATCAAAGACCTCATACTTGCTGAAACTTCATGAAATACGTTTAGACAAATGAGGTGTATCCGTTCTACCATTGATGTTATCCAAAAGCGCAACATTTCTGTCTCTGTTAAAAAATTAAGCTTATTTTAACTTAATTTCATTCAATTTATTAGATGCCAAACGAATGTCGTTGTACAAAATAGAACACAAAATTGAACGCTTTACTAATATAATATTGTGTTTATTTGAAAGATTATTAGTGATGGAAAAGAAATAAAAACGAAAAAGAGCTGTATTATATACATTGATTTCTACAATTTAGTTCATCGACGTACATAGTCTCACTGAAAATTCATGTAACTAGGTATGCACCTGTTCTAGAACTGGTGTTTGGGCACCCGGAAAAACTTTTATTACTCGATAATTGAGTTGTGGAACATCTCATTTTGTCGAGAAATGTTTACTCTACAAAACTCACTGGTCCAAAAACTTTTAAAATCAACTACGTTGAAAATACAAGTATTGAGAAACGCAGGAACTGTTGGGGGTAGAGATGTGCACGGGCACCGTTTTCGTACCCGTATGCGACCCGAAATTTTTTTTCCAGCCGTACCAGACCTGATTCGATCCGAGAACTTTGTATTTGTACCCAACTTATGCCTAAAAATTTTCTCCTTTTCGTTTTCCACCTAAAACTTTTGTTTTTCGGCTGGAGATGTCAAATTATCATTATGTTCTCAAGTAACTCTTTTCTAAAACTCATACTCACAACTAAAAAGCTTGTACTTTTTCACTAAAATCTTCCGATTTTCGGGTAAATTAAAAATAAAACAGAACGCGTACTCGATAATGTCGTACTTGCATCCGACCTTCAGATCGGGTCGGGTTGTACATCTCTAGTTGAGGGAACAGTTTCACTGTTTTAGACGTAACGTACTTTTGACTCAATTAAACTTACATTTTTTTTGGACCAGTGAGTTTTGTAGAACAAACATTTCTCTACAAAATGAGATATTCTGCAACTCTTAATTACCGAGTAATAAAAGTTTTTTCGAATACCCAAACATCAGTTTTAGAACAGGTGGATACCTACATGTAACATATTTTCAACAGTGAGATCTATGTACTATATAGTGTTCTGATTTATAAAACTCTAATATGTAAGCCATTGCTCATATTTCTCTTAGAAAAAATCAGAGAGTGAAAAAGGACGGCGCCGTACCAGATCATCAGCTACCCACACTTCTACTACTACCATCATCTAATCTATTTGATTGAGAGAGATAAGGATAGAACAGGAAGATCCAAAGCACAAAAGAACACTACACAGTTGATAGAATCGAACACTTGAACTTTGAATTAAAATGCATATACTTTTGCACTACATTGTCCAAAAGTAAACTCTGAGGTGTTCTCATCCCCATCCTGTGCATTGCAATAGTGTGTTTTACCCCCGCTGCTCAACCCATACAGCTTATATTCTTGATCAGTGACCAAATCCTGTATACTCTGTGATGAGTTATAGAAAGACGTTATAGTTCGAGACACATACGATATAGACAGAGAGTGATACAAGTAGTATCGAGATGATGGAACGAGACTAGACAGCACGTGTTTTTCCGATAAATCTATCATCAGTTTTAAACTAAATAGAGATAATAGTTCAAAAACTTTGTTTCTAACAAAAAAGAAGAAAATAAAAGAATCGACTCATTTTTATTTTTGGCTTCAAATGATTCTTTGAGAAACTAAAAAGTATAAATATTCGAGTTTCAGCGTATTCGAGTAATTTTCGTAAATATTACTCAAAACCTCCTCACAATAAAATGAAAAATTAAACAATAAATAATAATAATGATACTAAAATATCATAGCAATGCCGCGATGAAAAATAATAGGAAAGACGCGACGCCAGAGTCCCCCGTATGCTTTTAAAACGAAGATTATTTTAATTACAAAATGTTTAACTTACACTGTTATATGAAAATTTGATTAATGGTGCTTCATGAAAATGTTTCAAATGACGAAAATAGCTCAATAAAGATGATGGATAGTTTTTTGATATCCATTTATGACTATCAGAATAATTTACACAATTTTTATTCAACCTAAAACCATAGAAATATTTTAATGTATAATTCCAATTTGTCAATAAGTCTACCTTCTCACTAATGCACGTTGTTCTCGAGCGGATAGATGCTAGAATAAAATTAATATTAGATGCCATCTTAATTTTATTTTTACATACTTCTAACTGTTCATTTTCATTAACTTTCATATCATTTTGTTTTGTTTGATCTTCTACCGTTTGTTCTGTTCGAAATTTAACAATAAAAGGAGCAAATACTCCAAATGTAAGTATACTAAATAGGACTGGTAATTTCTTTTTCATTTGTGTTTGAATGGGATCAATTTTATCGTACCAAATATTTGTTAATAATTGATCACAACATGGTAGTCCAACAAATTCTTTATCATCAGCATCAACAGCAACCTATTTGAAAAAAAAAATAATATTAAAAAATTTTAATATACATTCAATGTAGTTTTTCTACTTGTATACACGAAACACCACCAAATAATTTAATTCGTCTAATAGCTATTTCACATGCTTTCTCCTCATCATAATTATAACACCATTTTAAACATTCACAAGCATAAGTTTCAAATAAATCAGCTTGTTGTTTTAGTGTCTCTTTTGAATCATTATCAGCTGCATATGTTGAATGAAATTTTTTAAATACTTTTGATGCTATTAATGATGCACATATACGAGTTTTCATATGGGATAATATCACTTTGGCCATGTCAACTCGATAGGTTAATATTGCCCATAGAAATAAATCTCTATAAACGTATTCTAATACTAATGTGGTATTTTGACTATTTTCAAATATCTCTTTATCTTCTTCTAATCTATACTCTTCGTCATTGGGTAAATCTAACAATTCAATATGATTATGATTTTCTGGTGAAATATTTTTATATGATTCTATGCGTTTCCATATATTGAAATTATTTAATTTTGTATAAAGTGGTTTCATATAATCACCAATTAATATTCGTATAATTTTATCGAGATCTTCAGGCGAATGAATGTGAGAACGAACTTTTCCAAGTAAATGAAGACGTTCTTGCTATAAGAGAAGAATACAATTACGACAATTGTGTAATGATAATCGAGATGTCAAATTTTTAGCAATCTTTTTGTCATATAATTGTAGTTTCTCACTTTTCTTATTAACTAAGAAAGGGTTCTTAATATTGAAGCCATAACTAGAGTATTATTACTTAAAAAGTATTTTAAAAGTGCATTTTAGATGTGTGCTAACGGCAATCAAAACAATGCTCGTTGTACTGCAGATAATTATTATTTGATTTTATAAAGCAAAGCAGTTTGGGTAATTAGACTTACGCGTATAACATAATGCTAATAAAACAATAAATGGAAAGAAAACGTTTGAAATAATAGGATACTGAAAATTAAACGATAAAAGAATAGAGAAGAGGCGGTGAAGATATATATATATATATATATACCTTTGCTAGATTCACAGCAAAACCGTGAAGATAGAAGAACGAATATGCCGATATTGTCCTACTGATTCCAAACATCAACAAGTCAGGCGTTAATCTCACTCCTAAGGATGCTAGCCAATGATTCTATTGCTGATGTCGTGATAACTTTAAAAATTCATCGTCGATGGCGAATGCTTTTTCGAGAAACCTAAAACATATCTATCTTGTCGCAGAGAAATGTATTTTTTCCTCAAAAAAATCTCTCAATATCGGGAGCAACATTATGTTTTAAAAAAATTTTGGCAAAAATGGCACGGTTAACATCTCTATTTACTTCAGCTCTCAAGAAAAACCATTCAAGCTAAAAGATCGATCAACTATCGTTCTCGTCCTATTTCAATTTTTTCACCGCAAATATCTGCAACAGATCTGCATAGATTCTATAATTTTGCAACTTTCTGTGCAGAATATGGACAACCTTTGTATCAAAATTCAAGCAGAATATGTGCAGAACCTATACAGATTTGACACAAATATTCGCAGAATTCAACAGATTCTGTGCATTATCTGCTAAGAATGTTGTCACAATTTGTAACAATTCCATGGAAGATTTTGTGCAGAACTTTGCCAGATTCCGAGCAGACATGAAGCAGATTTCTTCAAAATGTGTATATCTGTTGCAGTTTTTTAGCAGATTTTGTGAAAGAATTTCGGATTCTTTGAAAAACGTTTTTGGAGGCAGTTTTCGAATGGGGGACAAAAGGAGGGACGCTTAATTTAACGAAATAATGTCATCTCAATCTAAAATACTCGATAAGCTCAAATAAACTCACACGTTGCCAATAACTTAAAGGCAATATTGTGGATTTTTTAATCATTTATCGTTAAAATTACACTGCCGTTTTGAAGGTGGAGATGAAGTTGGTGAGTTTTGTTGTTGTTTGTGTCTCACTTTCACGATCTACATTCTCGCCGGCAGTCGTTTCTTCTTCTACTTCTAATTCATTCTTTCAAAGCTAAATTTTCAGATTTCAAATAAAAGATTTTTCCTTTCAATTAGGTTTTATCGACAAATTATATCACACATCTGATAAACTGTGAGATGCGCACGAGAGAAAGAGTGATGTTCTTGCGAACGGCTCGAATCTCAGAATAACTCTATTTGCTACAAACTATTCAAACACCTATTGATAATGATCTTTATGACAAGATATGCTAAAGAGGGCGTAAAGCTTTGTCGATTAGGTAATTACCCGCCAATCAATACTTTTCCGCTCAAATATGTCCTGAAGGTTGTACGACTTCAAAAAAATTCCAATGGAGGTATGTCCCGTATGTGGGAAAAATCGGTCGAATGGGGGAATGTCCTCCTCAATGAGGGACATTTGAGAATCCCACTATGTTTTACCCGGTTTTCTCTACGGGAACATGATGCAATTAATTCACTCATTTCAGGCTCAGTTAAAACTCGGACTCAAAATTAGCACACAGCAATTTTATAGTGCATGTATAGAGCCTAACAGAGAGGAAAGTCCTTGGATTTGATACACTTCGTGAGAGAGAACGTCTGTCTTTTTGGTGTTGTGTTAGTTCTATCAACTTTATCAATTTTTTCAAAAATTGTTCATGCAAGCCAGCTAAAGTACCATGTGGTACAAAATGCCATCCTGTAAAAAGAAACAGTGTTCAAATACATAGATGTAAACTCTTTGATATATTCAACAATTTTCTGTGCTGCTGTCTCTTTTGCTAATAAATAATACGTGTGCTTGTACATATCATCATCCACCTAAATGTGTATTTTGATTTCTACTACAGTCGAAAGTAAAATACTTCGATAGTATAAACTTTCTAGTAGAATTTAAAAATCTTCTATAGTAGAGATTAAAATTTTAATTTCAACAATTCTACTGAATTTTAACTTCTACTGCAACATATATTCTCTTTTATACGCGTATCTAAACAACGTTTGCTGTCCCTTCCTTCGAGCATGGATATTTATACTGTGTACATAGGTCACACATGTGTTTAACGAAACTATACAGTGCGCAATTTTGGCTAGGCATGCGGACATCAACTCTAGAAGTAGAAAAAAACTATTTAAACCAGTTTTCCATAGGTTATCGATGATGTTCTTCTCAATGGCTTGGTTCTTGAGTAACGAAAAAGTTTTCATGAGGGTTTTCCAGAGATCCACTTTCTGGAAAACCCTCTTGAAAACTGTTTCATTACTCGAAATCATTCCGTTGGAAAGATCATCGTCGGAAACCTATAGAAAACATGCTTGGAAGTGTTTCGTTTGTTTTATCCTGAATTTTAGATTTTTAGCAGAAAATTGTTTGTGTGAATCTCAAAATCTAAGAAAATTGTAGAATTCAAAATTTAGCGACCAAAACCAGATGAGTTATGCATCGTTCGACGCAGCTTTTTGCGCTGATTCCGAATATGTTATTAGGTTTTGTTTTTAATGTTTCTCAGCAGGACAAAAACCTTAAAATACCTAAAAACCTAGGATTTTTGGAAAACCTATAACTCCAGCTAGGAACATTTATGCTATTTTATGCTAACTGTATAGATGCATTGAATGGCGAAGAACATTCCCTGAAAGTTTCGTTTAATTTGGACTTGTGCTAAAGTGCGCGCACTCACTTTGTTGAAGATACCTTTGAAAAAAACGCTTAGTTAAGAAAGAACGGTAACTGCTTTCGTTAGAAAAGACTATCAGACAAAATTATTTTTAGCAATCGATACAGACTTTGCCGCAGTTTCAGAATACGTCTTTGTTTTTCTAAACAACTGCTCAGATTTTACATATAATCCAGTTTTCCAATAGTACCATTGTTTTCGGTCTAATTTTGCTTAGCAATTTACTGACTAAGTTTCGCACTTAGAAAAAAACTGCCAATGGCAAAAAGATAGAGTGTTTGTCGAAGTATATGACACACTATTCAAATCTTGAAAAATCTCACTTTCGTTTTCTCCCTAATGTCTGCTTGGTTGTGCACTGTGAACTACCTGAATTTTCTGTGGTTCACATTGAAACAAGCCTGCGTGGTCGTTGTATACATATCAGCACCTTTGAGTTTTTAACGCTGCGTGAATCAGAGATCGTCCTGGGCCACTTTTTTTCGGTCCGATCCGTATCCGAACTCAAAAATTTTGACACGGGCCGGGCCGGCCCGGAGACAACGCATATATGCTCAAAGGACAGCGAACTTCGCCAGAGACATTTTCGAGAGAAGATAGTGTCTCTTTTCCACATTTAATGTGAGTGTTGCCTTTCGACGTTGTCTTGCAATTTTATCGACTTGTTGGGAAAAAGGTTGGTTCACGCATGCGGTACCTCAAATTGCAACCCTGTCCGTAAATAAACTTCAAAAAAGTTGGTATGCCTCGTGACGATCTCTGTGAGAGCAGCTCAGAATCAGAACTGATGGTTTTTCTCAGAAATGTAGAAGAGAAATGCATCAAAATGTTGACGTTATCACAATAATGAGTATCCTCGATGTAAGCTGGCTTTGCCTTTGGTGACTTCCAGAATGTAGCCAGTATCAACTATTATATATTTCTGAAAATAAGATGAGTGAATAAAACGCTTATAACCCCGGAACGAAAAGACCTAGAGACTTGCGGTTTTCACCATTGGAAAAGCAGCTCGTGGGACGTTTATCAATGTAGAAAGTAAATTTTTTTTGAAGAGGTTTTCCCAGTAGACCTCGTCCGGTAAAACCCGTAGTACCTCAAAATTAGCCGACAAAAATTTTTGTTTTTTTCAAATGGGTCATAGATTATTGACTACTCTGATTCCCAATATCACTATGCCAGCTGCCCTTAGGTTTTTAGAGAGAATTGTAAATTGTTTCTCTTGTAAATTGTATAACTTTGCAAAGAAAGGTTGTGTAGAGCTGAGAGATATCTGATTTTAATCAGAAATTTATAGACTACAATCCTAACTCATTAAGAAAAGGTTTTGGTTATTTTATTCATAGGATCTTATTCTTAGGATGCTAGATTGGTTTACGAACGAACTGATATTAGTGGTAGTGCCAGCCACATGTCGAACCACAACTGAAGAATACACAGGAGAGAAAACCTATTTTAACCTCAGATCGACTTTTTTCCATCGAAACAGATATCAAAGCTGTAAGACAAAACAGTAAAAAGAGTTCAATTTTGCGATAAGCAAAGTAAATTTTGAGATAATCCAGGGTTAGCGTTTGATAACTTCGAAAACTGCTGTGTACTGCTGTAAATGTATCATGTTCTCGAAGAGAAATCTGAGTAAAACATGATGTATTCGTCTATTATACAATGAGACAAATGGTTCAACACATTTCTTGTAGCCAATCAATTAAACACTTTCCATAAAAACAAAGATAAGAGGAAACAAGTTGAAAGCTAGAAAACGATTCTCAATTTGTTAGATTCGTTACAGAATCTGCTTCATTTCTGTTCAATCTGTTAGAATTCTGCTACAAATCTTGCCTACAATCTGCAGTAAAGATCTGCAATAGATCTGTTGCAGAAATCTGCAGATCTGCATTGCAGAAATAACCCTTGGGCAGTTAATACTGGTGTGTTTTTAATTTAAATTAATGACGATACCAAAATCCTTTATAATTCTCAGATATATAAGTTAGCCTTATTTAGTTAATTGTAATTGAGGGTAAATTAAGTAATGCATAAAACAGACAAACCTTTCGTTTATCACCTTCATTGTATAATTTTTTTAAGACACTCCATTTTAATTTCCATTGCTTATTTTGATCTTGCTGATCGTATTGATAAAACATTTTTTGTAAATCAAAGCCCAATTTAATAAATGTATTAACAAATGCTGGACGATCTAATTCTAGAGCTTCTATAAATAACTTTTCTTCTGCATCAAGCTGAAAGAAATGGACTTAATACGAATGATGTATATGTCAATCAGTAAGACATATTTACCTTGAAATCATCAACATTATTTTTAATAATGTGTTCTTTTGCAACTTCTATACAATCCCATGCTAACGCTAATTGTAGCAACTGTATACGATCTGCAGTTGAGTTAGGACTCGTTTTTTGACGTGCTAAAATAGCAAAAGAAAATAATCTTATCAACAGAATAATATAGTCATGCTCACCTTCAATAATTGCTTCGAATATCGTTTCAGCTAAAGGACGATCACTATCTAGACTAAAGGATTTAATGTGTGATCGTAATGCTGGCTGAAGACAGTATAAAAACCGATATAACAAGTCTTCCATGTCTTTGTCACTTTTCTTGGAACCTGTTATCTGACCAAGACCATCGTTAATCTCCTCTTCATAAGCATAAAATCGCTGCCGAAGTCTAGAAAATAATTTATCTTTCTTGGACATAAGATAATCTCCCACGTATAAAAAAACTTACATTTGTTTTGAATCAGCGCTGTCGATATCAAATATTTCTTTCCATTTTTCTCCATCAACTTTTTCATAGACTAAATTTTTTGTACGAGCTAAAAATTTTGCGAGTAAGTTTGGTACACGACCACTTCCATCAATCAATACAACAGGAATTCCGTGTTTTAAATCGTTATAGATGGTATATAGAGTATCAGGACCACCTTAACAGAAAAATAAAGTCAATTTTTATATCTTATATACATTTTGATTGATAAAAACCTACCTTCCACAACGATAGTAACAACTGGTACTACTACAGAGAGAAAAGAAATGAGAAAAAAATCAGTTCATAAATAATAAGATGACACTCACCATTGCGTTGAGTTTCTGTACAAAATCTCCTTGAGATTGCTGTAACAAATCTTGTTCGATAATCTTTAGTATCATAATCATATAACATTCCATCGTCAAGCAGTAAAAAATGAGTATGATTCTTTTCTAATTCTTGTGCGCCTTTTCGTTTTTCATTTGTTACGCCTTTTTTTGTCTTTTTCTCCGTATTATTTTTCTAAAACAAAACGTTGCATCTTTTAAAGTATTCATTGGACATTTTCTTTTCTAAATATAAGTAAGATGCACTATGGAATGAGAGTACCTTACATTTAGCAATGATTCTCTATTTATCACAGATCCCCATTTACTGACGCCCACTGCAATAATTTCACTTTTTGGATTTGTCAATTTATTTTCATAAATAGCATCACCCACTAATTGAACAGCACCAACTTTAAAACCATTTGTGACTATCCATCCATCTATACAATGAATAAGATTTAAAAATCATCATACTTGTAGAAAAGTATAATGTAACTACCTGCTCTTAATGCTGTTTGAATAATTCCTTTAATAAATTCTTTTTCAAGTCTTTCATTTAATTTGAAATATTTTGCTCCACCAATAATGCACATAATCAATTTTGGCTCACGCATTTCCCAATCTTTAAACATCAACTCAGCTAACGTATCAGGTTTCGTTTCTATATCACATCGAATGTACTAAACGAAAAACTTAATTAAAAAATGAATGTTAATTGACAATTGTTACAGCAACCGACTGGAACATTAGTTTCGGGCATTTGTCCGTATGCATTGTTAAACGCTGGTTTTGTATGTTTTTTTGCATCCCATTTTGAATCTTGTGGATCTCTGAGCAATTCAATCTCAGGCATTTCCCAGCTATGTTCTCGTTTCAAACGTTTACAACCACATCTATTTTCTCTTTGATTTCTAAAAAGCAAGAAGCAGAAGAAAATGAAACAGGTGAAAATAAAAGACCGTTCTTACTTTTCATCCGAACCCTTCTCAGGTTTTGGAATGAATGTTGTGCATGTACGCCGTTTAATAAAAAGTCGATTTACCGCTGGTAGCCATTTCATACTGCCACCAGTTTGAACCTAGACATACGAAATTAATTAATTATTAGTAAGTTAAAATTCGAGATACTGACCATTTCAACGGCACAGTTTTGAGATTTCGGCCCATTATTCATCTAAAAATTTCAAAGCAGTTTGTTAGTAAGCATAGTTACAAAAGTAAGCATATGGGCAATGCAGGAAAGAGAAAAGTATACTCTTACAATTTTTAACGTTCCTAGAACTCTACACTATAAAAAAAAAGATGACTTATTCTATGTCTTCGTCGAAAAGCGTTGTATTTTAAGGTATACTTTTTTATGAAGATATTTCTATGGCGTTTTTTGAAAACAGTCGGATACAAGACACTGATAAAGATTATTATCACATAGGTGTTCAGAGAGTTTGCAGTGGATAGAATTATTCTAAGATTCGAGTCATCAACAAAAAAATCACTCTCTATCGCACGCGTCTCTTAGCTCAGATATGTGTGATATAAGTTTATCGATAAAACCTAATCGAAAGGAAAAATATAAATAATATGAATTGTACAAATTTTCAACCAGTGATGGATTTAGGGGGATGGCAGTATCTTTTTTTTATAAAATTTAGTATCTTGCCCATAGACACTCATCAATCCCACGTGCGAGGTTCTCCAGACTGTATTTTTTTTCAATTCCGCCGGCACCGAAAAAATTTTCTAAATCCACCTCTATTTTCATACACATCTTTTATTACATGCTGATTTTTTAAAAGAAGTTCACTATAGCAGAAAATATTCACATGTTCAAAAACCCGTATACTGAGTAATAATTATTAGCTTAGTTGTAAAATGCACAATTTTACGTAACTTTTGTCAAGAATGCTCTATGGAATATAAATAAACTATCAGTCTTTTGAAAATATGTGACATTAGTTGAGCCTATCAGGTATTTTAGATTGAGATGATGTTAGGCCCAATCGTCCGACAGAAAAAGTGGAAAAAATAAGATGTTCGAAGGGTGTCTTAAAGTGAGATATTTGCATTGTCTTTTTTTCATATTCGCTAAAAAAAGGAAAATTGTACCGTATACCTTGTTTCACACTTGATTAGGATCTATTGCACAAAAGTTATTTTTAATATATCCACTTCCATAAAAATTACCATGGATCAACTCTATCAGATAGAAATAAATTTAAATAATGTTGCTAACACAAACGGTAGGGAGGAAGATATGACGTTACTTGTTTATTATTAAACAAAAAAATTGCAGAACTGTAAAATACAAGAAAAAAATCATTTTCATTCTTTCTTCTGTTGCATGGCAAAACACTTAAAAGAAAATATGACAAATATAACCGACGCTAGAGGACAGAAATAGCTGAACGCTACTGTCAGTCGTTTAGAAAAACTGATGTATAAATTCAAAATTATACAAAAGAAATAAGATAATATATACTTTTTTTTCACCTGCTGAAAAACCTGAAAACATATTAGAGCAACGCGTTCTCTTTACAAAAAGACATCGCCTAATTTTCCGCTTGTTTTTGGCGGAAATATGAACATTGCTACAAATGCCATGAAAAAATTTGTTATCTGTAGTGCTGAAAACATTGTGATTTTAATTGAGACACGTTACGAGTTATCGAAAACTTCTAAAAAAATTCTATCGCAAACATCTGAAATAATACCTCAGAATGGCAGTTTTCTTTTACGTTTCTGATTCCTTCTCAAATCTGAGTTACAGATCAGAAAAAAGCAGAACACCTTGATTTTACATAGGATTTTTGCTACTTTTCATAGATTTTGACAAAGAACAATCAAAACGAAGAGAATATTTGGCACTGTCACACTGTAGATAGGAAAAGACTTTAAAGATACTAAAGAAAAGATTGGAACCTTAAAATATTGAGTTTTTTTAACCTCTCGATCAAAAACTTAGAAAGTCATAACTTTTGCGAAAAGAAGGAATAGTGGTGAAATGTAGGGAATATAATAATATTTTAGGTCAGACTTTATAATCTGATTTAGAGGAATTAATTCCCCTACTCATGTTCAAATCAAAATCAAAAACTTGTGAAAGAAGGGGTATCCTTAATGTTAGTTGAACTATTCTCGTTCGTTGAATGATTATGCTGTCCTACACAAGGACTAATTAGGGCATAATACATTTAAAATCTTGTGAGTTTGACAGTACACAAAATAAAAGAGTGCAAAACAAAGTGTCAGTAACTGTTGACATATGTAAGAAAAACAAAATTTTCATTATTTTTTAACACGTTAACAATCTGAGATAATCAAACTGACGATTTTAAATCAGAAATATTCTAATTAACTGATAACCTTCGAGAAAGAAATATACCATGGTTATTGTTGATATAGTCTAAAAGCAATTTTGGTGGTTGCTGTACATTTTAACGCTTAAATTTACTGGTATTGTTTCATAAAAAGAAGTTTTTACACATTCTGTCATAAGACATCAGCATTAGAGATGTGCAACCCGATCCGAAGGCTGGGTACGGGTACGAAGTTGTCGGGTACGGGACGGGTACGGGTAAAGCAGTTACGGGTAGGGGTTCTATTGTTTTTTAATTTACCCAAAAATCGGAAGGTTCTAGTGGAAAACCCACAAAATTTTAGTGAAAAAATACAGAAATTTAGCTAATATACATGAAGGTTTAAAAAAGATTTACTTGAGAACGTAATGATAATTTGACATCTGCAGCCGAAAAACAAAAGTTTTTAGCTGGAAAACAAAAAGGAGAAATATATTTAAGTTAACAAAAACAAACAATAATCAAGATTCATCTAACTAACAATGTAACAAAGTGTGTACGCCGAATTAAATTTATACAAAATAGATATAATCTGTTACATTCCACCGTTATTTTTTTTGCAAAAGTTATGACTTTCTAAGTTTTTGATCGAGAGGTTAAAAAAACTCAATATTTTAAGGTTCCAATCTTTTCTTTAGTATCTTTAAAGTCTTTTCCTATCTACAGTGTGATAGAGTCAAATATTCTCTTCGTTTTGATTGTTCTTTGTCAAAATCTATGAAAAGTAGCAAAAATCCTATGTAAAATCAAGGTGTTCTGCTTTTTTCTGATCTGTAACTCAGATTTGAGAAGGAATCAGAAACGTAAAAGAAAACTGCCATTCTGAGGTATTATTTCAGATGTTTGCGATAGCATTTTTTTTAGAAGTTCAAAAAAAAAAATTATTACTATTGGCGGTGAAGTACTAGACAGAATAAATGAAGTGAAGTTGTTAGGAGTATATATTTCACACAATGAAATGGTCATTTAACATAGAACAAACTGCTCGCAGGTGCGCAGTAAAATGATGAGCGTCATTAATCGTATGTTTTGCGACGCACCATTTAAATTAAAGCGTCATCTGTATGTTGCATGTGTACAGGATCGTGGTGAGCGGAAAAATCGGGGTATCATTTTATTAGGGGTGTGAATTTTTGGGAGAAAGTAAAAAACGGTTTTAATATACTGTAAAAAACAGTCGTAGATTAATAAACTATCAAAAAGGGTTTATTGAGACCAAAAGCCTTTATATCCATTTCATCCTTTCACCCGTTTTTTATATCTTTTTCAGTTTTTTGTCGAGTCTAAAATATCAGCTAAAAAACTCTTCAGTTTTTTAGCTAGTTTTTTAGACTCGACAAAAAACTGAAAAAGGTTTTTTATTTTTGATAAAAAACCGCCCGTTTTTCATGTTGCATCTGTCACGAACGCTTTTTAGTTTTTTGGATATTAAAAAACGAAAAAGCGTTTTTTAAAAGGCTTATTGGTCTCAACAAACCCTTTTTGATAGTTTATTAATCTACGACTGTTTTTTACAGTGTACTCCAAATTTCTTTTAGGAGAAAGATTATGAACAAAAGAAAGTAATAAATCTAAAAAGCAAGAAGAAAGCGTACACTGCCTTACACCCTCCTATCGTCACGGTCCTGCATGTGTAGGGCCAGTACTAGAGTATGATTCAACAGTTTTTAACAGTTCCTATAAGACACATTGGGAGTCATTAAATAAAGTAAAACGACTGGTATCAATCTCTTGAATAATATGTGGCGATTTCACCTCGCCATAGTCTGGAACTGTCTGTAAGACACAATTAGAACCTCTCGATCGCCGTAGGCAAATAGCCAGACTGAAATACATCTGGAAAGTTATGAAAGGAAGGACGGTACATGCGTAATTTGGTCTACTCCAATCGATGACTGATCGACGTACACTGAGAAAAGGTGTATGTTTTCTGTATCCCGATGTAAAAAGGATGTCCTCAAAGAAAAAGTTTTAGTTTGAACAGTAAAGAAGTGGAATAGCCTTCCTAATGCTGTAGTTTTATCATTCACAGTAAAAAGTTTTGCCATTTACTTAGAACAGCATTTATAACCGCCTGTCTACATAACTGCTTACCTATTTTTCATTCTTTATTTTTGTATGTACTGTATACATAAATTAATATAGGTTGGACATCTTTACAAGAGATGTATTAATTTACGTCGCTTTTTGCTTGTTCTCTTTTCTATCTGCATGTGAATTCAACTTTACTAAATAAATATATATTAAGTTAAGAAATGACACAACACCTGTGTCTCACTTTATACTTAAGGTAATCTCGCAAGAGAAGAGGCATTTCATTGATTTGAGAAAAGAGAAAATAATACAATCGAATACTTTCAAAAAAGTAAATATCCGATGTCTGTATTTATTAGAGCATAAATAATTCATAGATGAATATTGATGTGTACAATAAACTGATTAACTGTGTTATGATACTAATTCCTACTTCTCTGCTTAAAACAAAAGAGATAAAAAGAAATTGTTTGTGTGATCAGCTAGAAATAGGTGATTAAAATATCACCTCAGACGACTTATCCATTTTTCTATCTGATCATGCATAGACAATTGAAGGAACGATGCTATGCTTCATCAAAGGAATTAAAGACTCCTTATTGTGCACTTTCGAATATTAATAATAACAAAAACAACAAAAGAGGTTCAATATTGTCAAAAACGATTTGTGTTAACATTTTGAAAGTAAGAAAACCTGAATCAGCTGTTATGTAGCCCTGACTTCGCTCTATCTTTTAGCTACACTTCATATTTTTTCATATAAAACCATGGAAAAATAATTTATACCGATACTTTCTATCGTGTGTATGTGTGTAAGACAAAAATAATACAAGCATGTATAATCCGTTTATCAAAGCTATCGTTGTTGTTGCCTTGCCCTCTACGAATTGATTTCAAAACATTTTAAGGGTTAAATAGATGAGAAAAATAGCTTCAGTTTTCTGCAACTATCGTAATATTAATTAAAACCTTTTTTTCTGTCATCATTACTGCGATGGTAACATTTAAATTTATACGTTCATAAACAGCACACCTCTATGAAAGTTCATACTGCTGTTGGTAAAAAAAAAAGAAACATGAATAGAAAATACATTACTGATTGATCACGCTTTAATACTTTTACAACAACCATACTTAGAATTTTAAATAGAAGAAACAAAATAATTGATCAAAATATAACTTGTTCTATAAGAAATCGACTTAAACTCAAGATACTTTGAATTTGTGCGATATTATATTACACTAAGTAAAATCATGTTTACAATAAGGATAGTAAGATAAATGCCAGAGATGTACACAGAGTTCTGAATATGAGTATTTTCTGAAAAGTACTCGAGCCTAGGCGGCGGAGCCCTATAGGCTTGGGGAGGCTCAAGTCTCGCCTAAAAAGGAAGAGAAAGGTTTGAGGTGGGTCAGATATTTGATTTCCGTCCATCATTGTTTGAAAAAAGTTTTTGAGCATTCCCTAGATTAGAATCGTTCCGCCGCCTATGTACTCGAGTATAAAACTTTTCAAAAGAAGCCGGTGATTTCGAAAAAATCGATTTTTCTGAAATTTTAAATTGTAAAACAAAGGTCATTCGTTTTCTGGAGGGTACTCGAGTACTTTTTGGGATACTCGTTAAAAAATGTTCCGAGTACGGGTACCAGGAATTTTGTACTCGAGCACGAGTATATACTCGTATTCGTCCATCTCTGATAAATGCCACCTATTTAATTATGGTAGATAAAAAACTCTTATTTGACACGTTGCGTCAGTTTACTCCTGCTGTTTTTTACTTTATCTACGTGATCTGTGTGGTTTTTTTTTTGAGCTCTTACCAATAATAATGGGGAGCTATTCTCTCTTTTGGTAAACATAAACAAATCTTTTATTTTTCTCTTAATAAATAGACTATAACTTGTGAAAGAAAAAAATTCCTTTTTACAATTAGTAATAAGCGGAGAGAGAACGACCTCGTTTATTATACAGATACATATACATTTAGTCTTCTATTTTTTAGTTCTTTCTCCGCTTATTTTCAATTGTAAAAAGAATTTTTTCTTTCGTTTAAACTTGTTCATTTGACTGATTATGTTACAAGTAAACTGACGAAACGTCTCAAATAAGAGTTTTCTATCTTTTTTACAACTGCCTTGTGTTACAAAAAAAGCTTAAGTCCTGCAAACTTGAACTGATCCTTACTGCTTTTCTCTAATTTCTCTTTCCGCTAACGAGGAAATATTCCCAGGTGTCATCTCTCGTTTTGACTCATTCATATCTCGATCGATAGAGTATATCAAGATACTAAAAAGCCTAAAAGGATTTTTTCCCATTACTCTTGAAGACTCTGTTTTCTGGAAAACCAGTTTTCTCTTAAAACCAGTCAACTCTAAAAAATAACCAAAACTTTTCTTAATGAGGCATAATGGTAGCCCGCAAATTTCTGACTAAAAGGAGATATCTCCCAGCTCTACACAACCTTTCTTTGCAAAGTTATACAATTTACAAGAAAAGTCCTAAATTAATTTTTTCCTTCTTATTTCTGTAGCTTTGAGTTCACAATGAACATTCAGGGCTTTTCTTGTAAATTCTATAACTTTGCAGAGAAAGCTCATGTAGAGCTGGGGGATATCACGTTTTAATCAGAAACTTGTGGGCTACCATTATACCTCATTAAGAACGGTTTTGGTTATTCTTTAGAGTTCCTGAGAAACTGGTTTTCAAGAAAACAGAGTCTTCAAGAGTCATGGGACAAATCCTTTTAGGATTTTTACTATCTTGATATACTCTATCGATTGAGATATGAATGAGTCAAAACGGGAGATGACACCTGGGAATGTTCTCTTGTAAGTTGAGAATATATACGTTGAATACCATCGAAACAATTCGATGATAAAAACTCGACCGTAACGAAAGAAAAGACAAATTTATTAAGTCTAAAATATTGCGATAGTATAGCTTTCTACTAGAAGTTTAGCGACGCTATTTGCATTTAAACTTTCATCATTATTGTCTATTATCAAAAACGGTTTCTAACCATAATACATCAAACTTTTGAAAAACCACTATTCTCATATTATCTTACGAACTAATTGGTACTATGCACATATATGAATAAACATGTGTTAATGCAACTATAAAAATATATGCGCTTTCAATACTCAATCAGATATAGTACAAACGTCTGTAATAAACTAGATTTTCGTATCGATTTTATTATAAAATAAAATAACTGTCAAAGAATACGCACATACGGACAACCGGTGTTTATAAAAATATCACAGCATATATACAAAAATAAAAGAAGAAAAAAAAAGTGTCATCACAATTTGGGTTAAACATGTTATCCAAATATAAAGTCATTTATTTTTTTGAAGAAGAAATTGTGAGAATAATATTGTTTGGCGCTTTTTCATAAAGTTAATGCTAATTGCATAAACTAAAACAGAAACGATAAATTAATTGTTATAGATATAGAAAACTGTCACACATATAGAATAATACAAACTTCATCGATTGAAAATGAGCAAACATCACGTGGAGAAACATTCGTATCAACATTTGATTGTTGTTTTTGTTGCATCAAATCTAAACAGATAATTTAAAAGACTTTATATTGAGATGAATAATTTTAGTTTTACAGCTTTTCATAGTTTATAACCAAAATAAAAATGAAAGAACTAACCATTTAATAATGTTAATCGTGCACACAATTGTATGTAATGTTCAAAACATATTTTTAGTTGACCATCATGTCGAGTAGAATAACGTTTAACAATTATTTCTAATGTTGACGGTGGCAAATTGAAACCTAAGCATGAGATAAAAAGATTATTTATATATTTCATTTTCGTTTTTCTTTTCATACTAAACATACGTAATGAATTTAAAATATTGACAAGTGCATATGTTTCAATGATTCCATTTCGATCTAGATCATGTCGACGAAACAAATTACGCCATGTTAATAATAATTCAAATACATATTTAAAGCGTTCAAATGATAATTTATCTAAGCCAGGAGCCAATGAACTCTAAACAACGAGGAAAAGTATACATAATTTTGATAAATGATAATCTTTGATATTTACATTAACGGCTGATATTAAAAGTTTACAATGTTCAATTGAAAATTTTGTATGATCAAATTGTCTACTTAAATCAGAGTCATTTAACAGTATTAATAGATCTTCATCGTCAATTTCAATCTAAAAATTACAGAAAAATAAATAAAAATAATACAATCACGACGATGAAGTTAGAAAACTGGATAAAATTTGATAGTTTTTATGATATAGATTTGATATTTAGAAATACAATGTTTATTTTTTCACATTCTTTAGATTTAGAACAAAAATTAGAATGTTTTACCTTTCTTCTGCTTTGAAATGCTTTATGAATATTTGTTTGAGAAGATGAATCATTTTGATGTCCATTCTGATTTAAGGAAAAGCTAGGCTAAAATAACAAAAGATGTGTAAACAATATTAGAGTCACAGGTTAACAGGAAAATATTTGTTATAGGATGAAAGAGGACTTAGCCGCTCGTTAAAAGATAAAGTATCAAATAGTATTCGCCTTACCGCACTATAATGAATTCCTCTCAGTAAAAGTTCACTTTTGCATAAGTCAACCATGTTTTGTAAAATCATAGGTATTCAACTTATAGAGTTAGGAAAGTTTTATATTGTACCTTCAATATACTATTAAAATAATACTCAAGCGAATTCTAACAGCTTAGCTTTTTTAACGATAAAACATTTGAGAAAAAGGAGCATTCTGTGACACAGTACTGTGTTTCTACAGAAATGTTAAGTCTCTCACTATCCATCTTAATACTAGATTTTGTCAGATTATTATTTTAAAGGAAAATACTCAGACTACGAAAGAAGATGTTTCCAATTGTGTAGCTGAATGATGTAATTAGTTGAGTCATTTTGTAAAAGTCATGATCGATGACTTTTACAAAGTTTGATTGCTTGATTTGTTGACTAACAGACTGTACACACACACTGATTTCAAAAACTACATATTTTTAGGTCGATCAAAGTCGTTTATATCGCTTGTCTTCATGTGAATGAATATAATTTAATTTATTAGAAAAATAAATGAAATATAGGGATACAGAAATAATAAGACACCACTTAGGTAGAAAAGAAACGCATGTTGATTTTTCACCTTTTGAGTCTAGTGTTTCTAACTGAGAAAAGGCCTAGCGGACGAGAAATCAAATGTGCGTAGAATAGATGTGATTTCTTTTCTTTTCCGAGAGTGTTTTGTATCTCAAAAATCGTTAAGCATGTGATAAACAGTCTGACGCTGAAAATTATTTTTCTTATTATACAAGAGTTGTGACTTTTTCCTCTTGCTACGACCGATGATTTTCTGTATGTACCGTTATTATTTGAATAGAACTCCTAAAAATAGATCTTCGAAACTGTCATGCTTGATCGCTAAGAGATTTTTAAGAATGTGTACATATTGTGCAGTCTACGAAAGAAAAACAGATTGCGCCGACAGAACTAGCAACACAACCTCATCAGAAATACTGAGTAATTTAATCATTTTCTCGTGACTTTTAAGTCATCAGTTTAATAATCGACGATTACAGACAGATAATCGTTAAAAAAAATGACTTTTATTTAGTTAAGGAGCAAAGTGTTGAACCTTTTTGGAAACTTTTCATGTTGACCCACGACTTTAAAATTCCCAACATATTCCCACATTTCCTAATATGAGATTGGGAGACGTTTTTTGACAAGTCAGTTAATGGTCATTCATGCTGATTTATGTCACCTTTTTGAACTGTCACCAATTACGAAGATCCTGTCCTACAGCACTAAATCTCATGTTGTCTAGTTTATGCAGAATGTAGATACAATACTGACTTGTTTTCCTGCAGGCATCTTCAAAAACCACTTGGTAATGATCTAGATCTTTTCACTTTCGGACGAAACTAGTCTTCTGCTTTTACAAAAAAGTAACGCGAAGCTACATAGCTTGAAACCGTTGACATAGTGACAGAAGGTTTTCACTGGCAGAGAATTGATGCACTCTTTCTATTTTTGAAAAACAGTAAAAGATTTTTGTATCTTCTACAATCAAAAATCTGATAATACTTGTGTAATTGCACAGATGCGTTATACGACTATGTAGTGACCATTAACAAGAAAAAAATGGTAGATGGTTACAGAACGTAAAAAGAAAATCGACTAATATAACAGAAGGAAGACAAGAATATATAGACAAGAGAGAACAAATAAAATAATGTTACTTTATGTTAATTAAAAAAGTTGGTTTTATTTGCTTTATTACTATGACAAATAATAAAAAGAAGTTTAAGCTGTTATTTAACTAAAGAGTATGTAATGTGGTAGTTGACTGAGCACCTGCTGATGTAGATGAGTTGGACGTGTTGTGGCATATATTCGTCAGTCTTATCGATCTTGGATGATTTTAGAATATTTAACTAAAAAGTCACCTGACAAAGGAAATAAAAATGTTTACCAGACAACATTAAAAAGATCGTTTACGTAACCATTCATCATTCTCTTTCGAATGATTATCACGAGAAAGTTGACAAATAGAATCACATCGTTGTAGAAATCATAATGAAAAACATTATTTTTTATTTATTTTTTTCTAGATTATAAAGATGAATGCTGTAGTATCGTCGACTGGGACTGAATCTTCTTCTACAACAAGTACTACTTCTCTTAACAGTATAAATATCACATCAAGTTCAATTTTGACATCTTCTTCATTTCCCTACAATGATCATATATTTCTTCAAACTAGTGTTTGTCAAGCTATCGCTGGAGCGTTTACATGGGCTGCTATATTGATGATAGGACATCAAGTGAGAAATTATTGTTGAATTAATGATGAAATGTTATATGTTGTTGATCTTATTATTTTCTAGATTTATTGTCATTTGCGTCATTATAATGTACCAAGTGAACAAAAATGGATAGTTCGTCTTTTATTCATTGTTCCAATTTATTCTTTTGTCTCTTGGCTCAGTTTAGTTATGTTTTCAAAAGAAAGTTATTATGTATATTTTCATGCCATTAGAGATTGTTATGAAGGTGAGGGTCATATTGCACTAAAACAGGCATATAGTTATCATAGGCGTATATACATCTACATATCGTTTATTTGGTTTATCCATTCGTTTTAGCATTTGTCATATACAGTTTTTTGAGTCTTTGCTATGAATATTTGGGCGGTGAATCGACGATTATGGCCGAAATTAGAGGAAAACATATTGAGTAAGTTCAACAAATATTCAATGCTTATTATCACTTTAAATTTTGTACAAAATACAGAATGTTTGAGGCAAAGATGATGATAGTTCTAAATATTTTAAAATCGTATACGTACATCGCTTATCTATATAAATCTCAAACGGTTATCCTCTTATTATTATAGACGAAGTTGGTGGTATTGTACATGCTGTTTGTCGAACAAAGAATATACAATTGGATTTTTAAGATTTTGTAAACAAGTAAAATATTCAAAGTTTTTACTTATTTTATGTTTTTTTATGTTTATCTTTTGATCGATGAAGAGTATTTTTCTCATATTTTCTAGGCGACATTACAATTTTGTTTAATTAAACCCATAATGGCAGTTGTAACGTTGATACTTCAAGCATTTAAACGATATCAAGATGGAGATTTTAGGTAATTAATACACTTTTTTCTTGCTCGCTCTTTCACCAGCCTATGTCCTCTGCTTTTAGTGCCAAATCTGGCTATTTATATTTGACGCTGATTTACAACATCTCTGTTAGTTTAGCCTTGTATGGGCTCTTCTTATTTTATGCATCAACAAAAACAATGTTAAGAAAATACGATCCTGTTCTAAAATTTCTCACAGTCAAATCAGTTATATTTCTAACATTTTGGCAAGGTAACTCGTCTAACATAAACACTTTTATTTATATTGTACTTGACACATCATTTCATCTCTGTAGGTGTTCTACTGGCCATATTTGAACAACTAAAAATTATCCAAGCATTTCAAGGAGAAACACATTTAACTGTCGGAACAGTAGCTGCTGGTAAGTGAATCGCATTCTGAGACATATGTTATAGATTGTTCTTTTTCTTATTTCATGTTAAGGTTGGCAAAATTTTTTCATTTGTATTGAGATGTGTGTGGCGTCGGTTGCTCTTCGTTTTGCATTTCCTTATCAGCCATACATATCTGATCCAATTTATTCATCAACAACTGGCTCAAACTATCCATATTCTTCAAGTGGAGGCACAGGTCGTGCAGTAACAATGCAAAGTATCTCGTCAAATCTTAAAGAAACAATGAATCCAAAAGATATAATGCATGATGCTATACATAATTTTCATCCACAATACAGAGACTATACACAATATAATGCATATGTAAGTGCGCACTTGTGAAGTACAGAAGATTTTATTTAAAGAAAGTAAAATAGAGACTGAGCTCTTCTTCTGTGTGTTATTATAGGTAAAAAATTTAGACACTGAATTACCACAAGTCATTTTAAAGTTGCCAGCTAATCCACCGGTATATTTCCGCTTTACATATAGTCTAACACTGCTTATGCTTATTTCTAAAACAAAAAAAAGTACTACTATTGATGATTTTGAGTGCAATGCTCCTTTTAACAACCTAGCTTATTCTTGACCTGGACAAGGGTATATACTACTAAAAATATACTTTCGTAAATGGCACGTTTGAAATATCTTGCACAATTCCTATAACGGATTCGTATAAATTCTTGCAGTCAAACCGCTCGTTGAAGATATTTTTCTTCAATGTGATTGAGTCATCAAGATTTAAATCTCAATGAATTGTATGAAGAAAATTCTCGATTTTTCATTAAAATCTTGAGTTTATCATATAGACAAAATTCACGTACTATTCACAAAACAAAAAGTTGAACGGGAAGAAAACAGGGCATATTCTATCGCAGATACATTGTATAGCATAATAAATGTGTCTTCTGCAGAGACACTATTTGATATGCAGCTGATATGTATAGGAACTTATCCGAACGTGTGAGTCTTCGAAGATACTTCATCTTTTGAAATGAAAGAGTACTTTCGTCGAGCCTTGACATAATTAATTGTACCGTACGTGTTGTAGGAATAAGTTTTCTAATACTATTGTTCTCTGAATGTAATTCTCTTCTTTCTAGAATCTTTTATTTTTAATAGAGGATGATAATCTGATGATTAGACATAGTTTTTTTCTCGTTTATATTTTAGGGCGGTGATGAACGTACATCAACGTCTGGCCAAAGTAACGTATCACCAATTTCTCCAGTAACATTTGCTTCATCAATGACTCATCCAGTCAGTTACAATGGAACAATAACAGCATCTTCAATAGAAGTACCCATAACTAACAACAACATTCGTACACAAACAACTAGTAATGGCATTACATCAACAATAACAAATTTACCGACAAAATTAGGATTAAAATCAAAAAAAGATACGGAAAAAGACATGTTATTGACAGATGATGAATTTTAAAAACAGCAGACATATACACAAACCAAAAGAGTCGATTCTAGTCATACTCGAAGAATGATGTTTATCTACACCAAAGATGAGCTTATAATGCCAGCTCTTTTTTTCCCAATTCTACAATTGTCTTGTTAAGTATTTTTACATCTAAGTGGATATTGACTATTGTGCAGTTTTACTCTTTCTTACTCTTTGTTGTGACTCCTAGTCATCAGTATCCAAAACAAAATAGACACAAATCATAACTCAATTTATATTAAGTCAACATTCTTTTCTTCATAATTACTTTTTTTTTATTCACAAAATGTTCTTCTCGACCTAAAGCTCAACAATGCATCAACTAAAATTTTTTACTTAAACGACTTTCTAAAAAAACTAGCATATGTAGGGGGTTGAATTGTTAAAGTTGTTAAATTTTTTTTTTTTTTGCGTAAACGAGTGAAAATGAATTTTTACAACAAGTATACAAACTTTATGTCGACTTTTGTTCAAGTGCAAGAAGAGTAAATGAATCAGTGATGCTAAACTGTGTTTCTATCTATTGTTTATTTTGTCTTATTGCAGAAGTAGACAGAAACAACATGTTGTATTTTTATAAATTAAAATAGCATTTAAAGGCAATCATTTTTCAATTTGTATTGATATTTCTTCCATCCTCTTTTATTTTATTGTATGTTATGCGTTCACCTTTGCTGTTACTGTTTTGTTCTATAACAGTTTGTCAGAAAAAAAAATACTATTCAAAAAAGAAAACCAAATATTTGTCGGATTATTTCTTTTAGCTCTTTATCTATTAAATATTACACAAAAAGGTTTCATTTCTTATTGATGAACATATTGTGTAATTTTATCTCACTCATTCTTCTATGATTTGTAATTGTTTGTACTCACAAATAAACTATTTTACTGTTAGAAGATATCTTTCTTATATTCTTAAGAAATAATTAGTTAATCTTGGTTTCTGATGCATTTCAAAGACTTAATAGTTGAAAACAAACTACAATAAAGATACGTTAAAATTTGTTTTGTTTAGATTATCTTGGTAAGTAAACGTATCTTCTCTTTCGTCCATCATTATTAAATTTCGATATTATTCATTTAATGTTAAGAAAATCTGATATGTTGTGAAAAATCTATATTATATTACATTGAAATTTGAATTCAGTCATAACAGTATGATTATGTATTCGTTCTGTTTTGGAAATTAACATTTGGTCTAGTCAATTTAATCAGTTTCATAATTAAAGTGTAGTATGTATGATAGATTTTACTAAATTTGATAATTTATTAGCTCAAGTGTGGTATTTTTTTCGTGTAAAAGTCAAGTGAAACTTAAATTTGACTTGGTTGTTATTTAATAAGATGTTACACAAGAAAATGGAGCAAGTCAATTTTGAGTTAGCGATAAAGAGAATTTTTGCTAAAAACTCTAAAGTATAAAAACTATTGGCATCCGATCTCATCTAAAGTGCATACGGGAAAAAAACTAGGATTACGTAGGATGGAAGTGTGCACGATCCAATTATCATATCCATATCCGAGAACCTCAAAGTGTAAAAAACAACAAGCATATGTTTATGTTCCATTATTTATACAAAAATAAAAATTCCATTTTCCATGCATAAAATCATTAATGTTCTTCCAAGTTTCATTATTATTCTTGTCTAAAAACTATCTCGGATGTGTTATTAAACATGCTTTAAACTAAAACGAAAGTAAAGAACACACAAAAACACATTTTTTGCGATCGATTTTATCCTTCTCTCCCTCCCTTCGTCAGAAATACAAAATATATTCGAAAAGCCCATACTGAGCTAAGTACATCATTAGACAGCTCGATGTGCTCTATTATCAAAATGCACAATGAGCCGGGGGTCAAGCGGGAAACTCCAGGATTTCTAAGAAAAAGTTTCTAAAATCATTAAGAAACTGATTTTCAAAGTAAATATATTTTCAAGCAAAATTAGATGTCTCTCAACTCTAGAAGATATTTTAATAAAAATTATGAGAATTTTTTTAGAAGCTCTTAAATACTAACCTACATATGATAGATCTAGTTTGAAACTAATCCGAACTGTCCATCACGTAAACTGGCCAAGAAAAATTATGCAAGCACGAACAATCGCGTTTTGCACATGTTCGAACGATATCTCATAAAAATTTATAGACGAAGTCCCTGAATATGTTTTGTAGTTATTTCTTAACGTATCGAATATCCTTTAAAATTTTTGCTCATACGTCGTTATGGCGTTTGGTTGCCAAAATAGATTTATGACGAGAGACCCATAAAAACCAACATTTTATCTTTATTTATATTAATATTATAGGGCAAATGAAATTTAAACTGACTAAAGATATAGCTGCTGTACGGTTGTGCAACTTAAATGTGTTTTTTTCTAAAGATAAATCGTACGCACATAGAATACAAAAAGAAATAAACCTCTCTATAGAATGATGATAAGAATAATCGTGTATATATATCAGAGAAATAGAAGCTAGACTTCGTCATTACAGTCTGAGATAAAAATTTAAAAAACACTACTTTTTAATAAGCAAGAGTCGTTTTGAGACCTGATAATACTGTTAATATCCTTCCAGAAAACAATAGATGAATAACGTTTACACACATACCAAAATTCATCCTTTACCACATCCCGCACAAATATGTCCACTTATAACTAATTCAATAATTTATTAATGACGCTTTTGTCATGACTCAAGTTCTTGTCTCTGTAAACTGTTTATATTCTACCACTAGCGAGGAACACTATCCTACTGTAACACTCCTTTTCAATCGTTCATACGTCGATCAATAGAGGGTATCAGGATAGTAAAAAGCCTAAAAGGTCTCGTGCCAATAACTCTTGAAGTCTCGGTTTTCTGGAAAACCAGGTTTCAGAAACTCGGAAAAATAATCAAAACCTTTTGTTAGTGAGACATAACTATAGCAAATTTCTAATTAAAATGAGACGTCTCCCACCCCTACACGATCTTTCTTTGCAAAGTTAGAAAATTTACAACAAAAGCCCTGAATTAATTTCTTCTGATTTCTGCAGCTTTGAGCTGACAATGAACATTTAGGGCTTTTTTTGTAAATTCTCTAACTTTGCAAAGAAAGATCGTGTAGAGGTGGGAGACGTCTCATTTTAATTAGCAATTTGCGGGCTATAGTCATGTCTCACTAACAAAAGGTTTTGATTATTTTTCCGAGTTTCTGAAAAACTGGTTTTTCAGCAAACCGGGACCTCAAGAGTCATCGGCACGAGCCATTTTAGGCTTTTTACTATCTCGATACCCTCTATCGATCGACGTATGAACGATTAAAAAAGGAGTGTTACAGAAGAATAGTGTTCCTCGTGAGCTATCGAAACAGTCTAATTCTATCAGTCGCTGAGCTGTGAATGATCGCATATGTTAAGAGGGAATGTTCTCCACTTAAACACACTCTCAAACTTTGCCAGTGTTGAGAACACCTTCGATGGTATGCCTGAGCAATAAAACAAAGTTTGGTCAGATATTGAAAGAGTTATTAATTAAGTAAGTTAAAATTCTAATTATTAAAATTTGAATTGCTAGCTCCGATTTAAAAAAGCTTGCAACTCAGTCAAAAGTAATCGTAGAAACATCATTTTTGCGTATCTTGAGGGCCAATGATTTCTAGTTATAGTATGATTAAAAAAATTACGAAAAAAAAGTGTTCTAGATATTAATTTATAATTAACTAATCTATACTATAATATAAGTGTTTGTTTGCCTGTTTGATTATTATGCTATACAAATCCACATGCTTGATCCCAGAGCAGCCAAATTTTGTATGGGGTCCACATTCATCAAGAGGAAGACTGTAGGCTATGTGCGCCTCCAAAATCTTCACCCACAGGAGTACCTCCCTTGGTACCCGGGCAATGCCGGGTAAATTTTCTAGTACTAAATAATTCCAATTATTGGCACCAGGAATCCCAGATCGTCTGATTTTAGCAGAAAAAGTCTTATTTTGAGACTTTTTTCTGCTTCATTTCTTATTTTCTTATTTTTGGAATTTTTTCTTATTTTAGAATCTTTGTTTGATATAGAACGAAAATTTAATTTATAATTTTTTTTTCTAAAATTTTTTATGTATAACTAACCATTTGGGTATGAGAATAAACAACGTTCTGATTTTTGTCTGATTTTGAAGTTTTATTTTCTTATTTCCGTCTTTTAGATCTGGGATCCCTGATTGGCACTCTAGTGTTTTATACTTTTATTCGCAGAATAACGATTTATTTGAAATGATGAAGAAACAGAATTCGACAGAGATTTTCAAGTGCTACAAAATCATATTTTTGTATTTTCAAAAGGTTACCAATAAACGGTTATTTGAATCCTTTTTTTAGACATACTGAGTTTCTACTTTCCATTTCAAAATAGAATGATCGTGGCTATTTTTTAAAAAACTTTTGAACAAAAATATATAGAGGGTTCAGATTTTCAGCACTTTATAATCAAGATTTGACTGCATCTGCTCGTATATGAGATTTTAGATCATGTAATTAAACAGTGAAAAATATGAGAGTGCCAACTCTTAAAGCTGTGCTGAATTTTTGGTTGCAACATCATGGTTAGGTAGCGCGTCTTCTACAATTTTAGACTAGGTCGACTTCTATATCTCTTACAGTTCTCAGCTAGTATGCATTTCCATACATCTTCCGTGATTGGTTACTGCTACGTCTGATAGTCTCACAAATAATTGAAAACATGGACTTTCTACCACGCTGAGCCTTGTGACAATATTCGATTTTATTAAGAATTTTGAAAATCAAACGGAAGTCTGCTCATAGTGAAAAAATGTTAAAAATTGTTTAGTTTTCTGTAAAAATAACCAACATATGGGATTATTCCACTTTGAGCAGATTTTCATAGTCACCGTCATTTTCTCGATAGTCCCGATGAACTTCTTATAGGGTTTCTTCACTAGGGTAGTGAGAGAGACTCACTAGCTAGAAAACAGCCAGAATAAGTAAAAT